CCCCCCCCCCCCCCCTCCCAAAAAAAAAAAATGTGTAAAAATCTTACAATTTATAGGCACATAACCCCAGTTGAGGTGGTGATATAAATGTCAAACTACTAATTTATCAAGAAGGATAACTACAATTAAAGATGAACACTATTCTGAAGTAATAACTATTCCGATAATTACTCTTCCACGAACATTAACTTTTCTTTGACTCTTGAGTTTTATACTGCACTAAAATCATAAACTAAACCCAACTTACCTTCATGATTTGAGCTCAATTTTGGGCCTAATTGGAATCTGAGCTCATCGGCTTTAATAGCGCATTCGTAGCTCTTTAGCATGCGTTGTTTTTTTTAATATATATTTTTATCATCAACTCAATAGAGGATGAGGATGATGTGAAGATTTGCAACCCATGCAGAAACTTCTGGCCGACTACTTTGTTCTTTTTTTTTTTGCCATCATCCACCCAAAATAGGTTAACACCAAAATTGAATTAGCTTGAAACACGACACGACATGACAGAATGCAATATCAAAACAGTCATCCCATGTAATCGGAACACATCCACTTACTGCTGCTGACCAAGTTGGCTTGTTCTTAACCACGTGATAACAGGATGCAACTGTCAAACGGCTGATACTATTCAATTTCCATCACCTACCATGACAAAAGGATAGCCCTCCTGCTAACTTACCAAACATTATTTAAAAAAAAAACTGTTTCCATCACTAAGACGAGTAACACCCCCATCACATTGAAACCACATTACTGGTTGCACCAAGGCCAGCCCTCTTAAAAAAGAACTGGTACGAAGCAGGGAATATTAGAACCACCATAAAATTTGGATAGTTCCAATTTTAGTAAAAAGTACTGATTCTTTCATTTGTCTTTTCCACTGTTCAACCAAGCAAGCAAGACGTTACCATCTATTAATAACTCCCAACATTCATGAATGCACCAAATTTCATCCTGTAAAATCATCAAACCCAATGTAATCAACAGATTTTGAAGAACCCTTCCTGAAACAAGAAAAATATAAATTGAAAAAAAAAAAAAAACTATTGTTACACATAAAAACTAAATGTTGATGAAAACATCAACAGGAGGTGGATGGCAAGGTCAAATTCTTTTCACAATTGTGACTTCAGCATTTGATAGAAGTTGAACCTCATTGTTAACGACAAACTATAGTTATGGGTTATACATAAAAAACGCTGTGCAGGATTCCGGGGGCACAGATCGTTGGCTACAGAATATCCAGAAGCCCAGAAATTAATCAACTAAGTGTACAACGTAAGTTAGTGCATATTAACAATGCAAACATCCAATACAAGATCTGGGACTTCTCTAAGGCTGAAAGTTAGCATGATGAAGCAAACAAAAAATCTGACTGCTTCATACCTTAAATAAGATGGGAGGCAAATCATTACCAGCTTGTAAAGCTAATTCAGTCTAATAGGATCTATGGGTATACAGACAACTTATGCTTCACCATTTATCAGAAAGATGGCTTCTTAAGGGCATTTTCTTTGAATGTAAGAAGCACCATGCTCTTCATACCTGTCATTAGCAAGCATATAAAGCGATGATAATTGCAAGAGAAAAACAGAAAACACATGCAGCTTCCAAGCACAGCTGCTGGAGAGAAAGGAAAATATTATCAAGGAAAAGCTGCAAGGCTAAAATGATTGCTCAAATATCAAAGTAGTTCGCCTCAGTCAATAACCAGAAAACTAGGGCATAAGGTGAGCTTACTCAGACTTGGAAAACCACATTTGCTGAAAGGAACCAAGAGATGCCAGTATACTCCCTCCTATCCAGACACTGCATACACAACCACAAAACACACGCATGAAGCAATAAGAACAAACTCGATATACATTTATATAAGCAAAGATTTTCTCCAGCGACAGCGAATTAAGAAAGGAAAAGAAAATTAACTTCAATTCGTATATTTGAAAGTGTTAGCTTCAAAAGAAAACAAAACATAGCAGTTGTTTTCCTTCATATGAAAATTTACTGGCAGTGTTGCTGCAAGTGTAGTTAATGCAGCAAAAGGGCCAATTTTGGCTTCTTGCTAGTAGGAAAACATGCATCCTGCATGCTTGTGAACACAAGAAAAAGGAGGCGAGAGGAAGGAGGGGGGTTTAAGCAAAGTATATGACCAACCTGAATCTCCTTTCCGTGGCATTTCCACTTGCCAATACTTTAACTCTAGCTGCTTGAGGAGATTCCTAGAAATTGAGGATAAAAAACTCAGAATCATACCCTCATTTAGTTAAAAACACTTAAGAATTTATTACAGGTACTTCACTCAAGCAAATATATATGATTTCAATATTATCATGTGGGCAACCAATAGATATTAATTCAACACTCTGCATAACTCTTTAACTCGTAAATACACCAAACAAAATCTCAAAATGGATTCCAATGAATAAAGAAAATAAAAAAAAAAATCCACCATAATACAAAGTAATCATATCTGCCTATCTCATTCCTTTCAGTCTCCCCAGAGTGTGCGTCTGTGTGTGTGTGTGTGTGTGTGTGATAGAGAGAGAGAGAGCTCCGTGAAGTTTATTATAATGAATGTCAATATACAGACTGCATTTTTTTATTTGATAGGAAACAAGAAACAGCCTGCATAGACAATTAATAATCAGCCAGAACATTCACTTGACTAGTAAATAAAGTAATTATTGAATGACACCATAGACTATACCGGCTTTCATGATCAATGGAACCAACAACAATTAAATCAATACATCGAATAGGTAGATGCCATACCTCTAGCAAATCTTTTTCAAGACGTTCTTTCAATTGTTGCATTGATGCTGTGCCACCAGCAAGCTGGATAAAAAATAGACATTGAAAGCCAATCAAAGTCGATACGACCCAAAATTAATAGGCACAGAAGTATACTTCGTTGGAATAGAAGAATAATTAGAAAGGTTGAGCACACAATTGCAGCAATATGACCATGAGATTGGTCCAACTTCTAGTGGCAATTGGCCACATGACTTCTGTAAAACAACGTCTTAGTAGTTGAAGCTATCAATGTTTCGCTCAATGTCCCATTCAGGAAACATATATTCCATGATGAAAATGCCATGCAAGGTGACTGCCAGTTTACAGACTGTAGGTGCATATCATAGCTCAGGAAAATAATCAAACTCGGTCCATAAAGGTGGCTAAGGTCTTAGTTTATGTAGCATATGAAGCAATCCATGGTCCAGTATCTTACAGTCTACAGATTGAGAAGGAACATATATCCACACTTATATATATACATAAGCATGTATATAAAAGGATATAATTCCTAGTGTGATACAATTAAATCCCGCAGTGAGTAATAAAACGGAAAATGAAAGGATATAATGATCTCATACATAAGATGTGTAGCAAACAAAGAGTAAAATCAAAGAATAAGGACTATACCAGTATACTACTAAATAGTTCTCTCCGAATGTCCACATCACACTTATTTATGCTCTCTATAACCTGAAAATTTTCAGAATAGAATAATTACTCAGAAAGAGAGTGAATATTACAATATCAAAACCAAATGCATGCAAGTAGACCAGCACAATGAAAGTGAGAGGAGTTACCATTTGTGGCAGGCCACGAATGGACGGAGCAGTCTCTGCAAAGCTTTCTATACCAGGAATAGTCTGAGATTTAGATCAAGAGCATAAAATACTTTGTCAAAACAAACGAAACTTCACTGAATAATCTCACACCAACTAATTTTAGTGAGCACAATTGAATTACAAATGGCAAGTTAGTTGCTTTGAAAATGTCAAAAGAGAACAAAGCATCGAAGCCAAAATGACCAAGAACTTCAAACATATAGGGCACTCAGATTACTCAAACTAAAAATTGCCGCCTCAGAAGAATCAAAATCAAACAGTGGATGCACTCCTATATCTTATGATAAATAGATAATGTCACCTTTGCAATGTAATATGTTTGGTACTTTGCATAAAAAAGACTTTACGACTCTCCGTACACAAATATCCTGGACAATAATATTAAATTCAGTATTTACACCAGCAAGTTGGTACAACTAGTTTATCAGTGAAAATTAATAACTCCCATTCCATGAGGACCACCGCAAGAGTCCAACAATACCACGTTAAACAGAATATCAGAGTATAAATTAAAGGGATCTCTTTATTGCAATTTTGAAGAAATACACAAAAATAGCCCTCCAAGTAACCTCCACACTGAAAACAGCAGAACTTTGGCGAGGTTAATGCATGGATTTATGACACCATATGCAACATTAATCTAAACCTTGAAGTAAACCACAGGGTATAGTAAGCACTCTAATAGGCACAAATTTATGAGATAAAACCTCCACACTGAAAACAGCTGAACTTTGGCAAGGTTAATGCATGGATTTATGACACCATATGCAACATTAATCTAAACCTCGATGTAAACCTCAGGTATAGTAAGCACTCTAATAGGCACAAATTTATGAGATAGCCTTAGCCATGGCAGGATGTCAAAACGACTCAATTCTAAAAACTACATTAATAAGTGCATGCACCTTGTTGCAGATAATATCAAATGAGAAGATAAGATCATGTGATTTGATCACCCAAATCAACTCCCAAACTATAGTTATCTCTCGGACCGAGTTAAATTGATATGTATATTTTAAACTCTCTTGAATATAGATAAGATTTCAGTATACTATGCTTGCTGAGAAGGATAATGCTAAATAGACCAAAAAAACGAAATCAAATAATGTGACAATATTGAAAAAGCGCAATTTTAGCCAAGTTTAGTTGTATTACAGAACTAAGAAGCATAAACAATCTTATGAAGGTGATGTATCTGTGACATGAGTGTTGGACACCAACACTAATTAGACACTCTTGTACACATATCCAACATCTTTCTATTCATGTTTATAATTAAAAGATAAAATTTTATTTTTGTATATATATCTGGCATTCCATTGGTGATGGTACTGACGCATCTTTAGGTCTTGTGTACGACAAACAAAAACATATGTTGACATGTAATTAACAAAGTTTAAAAATTGACAAATGACTATTTTATAATAAAGGATCAAAATTTCGTTTTAGTGAGCATAGAAATGGAAACGTTCCAATAATGTTTTGAAAATATTTCGGAAACAGATTGGAAATAAAGAAAAAATTTACAAATTTATTTTCGAAACATGCTGAAACACCTCCAAATACACCGAAACACTTTGAAACATATAAATTTTAATGATTCGTTTCGATTTCCATGGAAACGAAAGTTTTGAATGTTTCGACTATTTTAAAATGAAATTTAGTTAATTGCTTGTAATATAAAAATACATCCAATTGTTAAGACGAGTCATACAAAAGTTGTACTTAAAATATACCAATAAGAATTAATGACACATAGGAGTTTCGCTAAAGAAGAATTGAGAAAATGAGAACAATTGTTGTAACTATATATGTTAGCTACTTGGTCTAAAAATCCACATTAGTTGACTAAACATAAGATTCAGTTATCATTTAAGTATTGAATGTACTATAATTATGTGCATACTTGTGATAAATTATATTATTTAATATGTAAAACACAATTGCTTATAACATGTCTCTGACGTATCTGTATCCTACTTTTTTAAAAAATATTGTATCATCGAGTCTGTGTTGCTTCATATCCGTGTCCCATGTCTATATTCACAATTCTAAGTTGCAGACAAATTCTTAGATTTTCAGACTAAATATTTCTAAGCTTATTTTAAATCTCGACAAAATGAAATCAATTCTAAGCCCAAATCTTTTTCGTGAACACTGCTACATCATTTGGTCTCATTTTTTTGGGTCTCAATTTCTAGTCGGACTAGCATTAGCCTTTAATAATGCTAAATGAGTCATATCATAGTCATTTACCAAAAAACAACATCATAATGAATAGAGACTCTTCCAAATCTTCTGATTGCATTAGCAGAACTGCTAGAACAAAACCATGTTTCAGGGATGGCATTTCAGCTTGGTCTCCCACCTTCCTGATGTCTATGAGAAGTTATAAGCATCCTAATAACAAGTACTTAACCTCATATTCCCACATCTGGTTAGATGAATGGATTTCGAGACTCAAATAAACAACTTTTAACAACAAACAAGTGAACTAACTTTTAGCTCAGAGATCCACTTGGGAGTTCATGATAGAAGGCCAAAAGGAACTTAAGAAGGTGCAGAGATTCATATTCGCAGAAGGAAGGGCAATCTCATAGTCCAAGTGAGCTATAAGCATAAACAAAGACAAGTACAACAGGATAAAATTTTGTACAGTTAGCAAAGTCATATTTTGAGAGCCACAAACCTGAGCCAAGGATGGGTTGAACAGAATATCAGGAATCTTAAATCTGTCAGCTCCAATTTCTATTGTCCTGTATTAAGCAAAATAAAGAAAAGGCGCATAAGCAAAGGATAATTTCAGAAACAACGGCCAAATTAAGGTTGCCCAAACGAGGTGACATTGAGGTAAACATCACATCATAATATGGCGTATACATAGACGAGAATAGCAATGGCCTGATTGTCTAATATGTAGATGGTAAAGATTATCATTAAGAGGAGTCCAAATCCCACGCCATGGGATTATGTGGAGTTAAGAATACCACGATAACTTTACTTTTGAAAATTTCAGACTAGAGCAGGCAACATAGAGATGCATGCAAAGCATGGTTATTAAAACCTCGATCTGGATCGTACTATCCTACAATCTGGTACCGGCCAATCAATGCGAGTCTCTTACAGAATCCCTAATTTATAGGATCTTATGGATAATGATCCAGATCTTATAGAATCGTAAGATCCCAATTTGAATTGAGATGTTAGCGATCCAAATTGTTGAGTTTGTTGTTAGGTGCATTTAGCTTTTGAGTTGATCCAATTCATATTTTAATCATTCCTCTAAGCTTTATGTTTGTTATAACATTTCTATTTTTGTATGTACTAGGCTTGTTTAATTATTGATTTTAAGAATTTTGCATTGTCAAATATTTTTTGCCTCATTTTTTAGAATGTAAAATCTTATGATTCTCGATCCAATTCTATGATCTCAATCCTTTAACCTCCCCTATCGATCCAAGGTAGGATCCCGATTTTAAAAACCTTGATAAGTATATATTGTAACCTTATAGCTAAATAGAAACGAAGCAAATAGATATGAATAGAACTTACTGCCCATCGGGAAGTTCATATGGCGTCATTGGAATGTTTGAATATGAACTCTCTGAAAGGAAGGACAGAATATCAATACATTGTGGAAGTGCTTCGGAAGCTTGAAAGAGAATAAAAAAATAAGATTCTTACATACTAACAGACTGCAATGAACAGAGCAGACAAGTAAAAAATTATAGCATGGTAGTACAGCTGGAATATGTGCCTCTTAACCCATCAGATTATCGAATTATAGACAACCAAAAATTAGAAGATTGCGTTCCAATAAGCTATTTTTCCCGTAAAACTATGCACATTTAAATCAAAATCTCATGGTGGGAAAAGTCTATGGATTTAATTAAACTCAGCAACATAACATAAAAATTACCACGGACCATCATATGGAGTATCTGGGGCTCGACACACGCATTCCTTGATATCACTAGCAATCACCCTCTGCCCCCGCGGGGGAAGAAAGAAAATTCAGTAGCAAAATAAGAAGGATGCAACAACTGAACAAGAGAAACTATAGTGAATCACAGACCTGTGAATAGAGTTTGTAACTTTCAGTTATGTTGGGCAAATCAAGATCCACTGTCTGAGATTTACAAAGATTTGAATGTCATAAAAAGGAGAGCCATAAACTCAATCAAAGTAAACAATAGCAACATTAACATAAGGATTAGAGGGAAAGCCACAAACTGAAACACAGGCTTCAGTTAAGAAAATGTAACAAATAGGAATAGCTTCTGCATTAAGCAGAGTAACTCTTTGTTTCTTTTTCTTTACTACTTCTGTGGGCCGTGGGGTGAAGGCATGTAGACAAGGTTAGTATCTGAGACACTGTCTCTGCCCTCGGCATTCAAAAGAATGCATTTCCATACAGAGCTAAATTCATCAAGCTTTGGAGAAAAAAGCCATACAATAATGGCATCGGATAAACTATTATTTGAAACCAAATATTTTATATAACCACACATCCAATCTGAAAACCATGGAAACTGATGTACCAAGAAACACTATTAACATGCTACCATAAAGCTTATGTTATAACACAGCCATAAATTATGATGCATGACAAATACGTACAGGATACCAGACAAAAATGAAGAATGATTCATACAGAATAAATTCCACTATAAAAAATAAGACTATCGATAACCTGAAACTCTCCTGGTCGAATTTCCTTTCGCTTGAAAGAATATCGAGGTTTTATCTGAAACACCAAAGATAAATATTATAGACATTTTATTCAATTTAATAACCTGCTAGAAAGCAAATTTATCTAATGGTTAAAATTGACTCACGGTAAGGCCTTTGCTCTCCAAGCTTTTCATCAAGCAATCAGTCAAAAATTCTCCCCCAATAGGAGACGAGTGCACAGCCTAAAGTGAAAATAAAAACAAACGAATAAATAACATATCACGGATCTAAAAAAGAAAGATATCACAAACTGGCTTTTCTGTTAGACGTTTTGAAAAATTGTGAACAGAACTTTAAATTAATCGAGCCAAAAAAAAAAAAAANTTACCACGGACCATCATATGGAGTATCTGGGGCTCGACACACGCATTCCTTGATATCACTAGCAATCACCCTCTGCCCCCGCGGGGGAAGAAAGAAAATTCAGTAGCAAAATAAGAAGGATGCAACAACTGAACAAGAGAAACTATAGTGAATCACAGACCTGTGAATAGAGTTTGTAACTTTCAGTTATGTTGGGCAAATCAAGATCCACTGTCTGAGATTTACAAAGATTTGAATGTCATAAAAAGGAGAGCCATAAACTCAATCAAAGTAAACAATAGCAACATTAACATAAGGATTAGAGGGAAAGCCACAAACTGAAACACAGGCTTCAGTTAAGAAAATGTAACAAATAGGAATAGCTTCTGCATTAAGCAGAGTAACTCTTTGTTTCTTTTTCTTTACTACTTCTGTGGGCCGTGGGGTGAAGGCATGTAGACAAGGTTAGTATCTGAGACACTGTCTCTGCCCTCGGCATTCAAAAGAATGCATTTCCATACAGAGCTAAATTCATCAAGCTTTGGAGAAAAAAGCCATACAATAATGGCATCGGATAAACTATTATTTGAAACCAAATATTTTATATAACCACACATCCAATCTGAAAACCATGGAAACTGATGTACCAAGAAACACTATTAACATGCTACCATAAAGCTTATGTTATAACACAGCCATAAATTATGATGCATGACAAATACGTACAGGATACCAGACAAAAATGAAGAATGATTCATACAGAATAAATTCCACTATAAAAAATAAGACTATCGATAACCTGAAACTCTCCTGGTCGAATTTCCTTTCGCTTGAAAGAATATCGAGGTTTTATCTGAAACACCAAAGATAAATATTATAGACATTTTATTCAATTTAATAACCTGCTAGAAAGCAAATTTATCTAATGGTTAAAATTGACTCACGGTAAGGCCTTTGCTCTCCAAGCTTTTCATCAAGCAATCAGTCAAAAATTCTCCCCCAATAGGAGACGAGTGCACAGCCTAAAGTGAAAATAAAAACAAACGAATAAATAACATATCACGGATCTAAAAAAGAAAGATATCACAAACTGGCTTTTCTGTTAGACGTTTTGAAAAATTGTGAACAGAACTTTAAATTAATCGAGCCAAAAAAAAAAAAAACACAACCCGAAACCGAAAAAGGAAGCTATCGCAACCTGGCTTTTATAGACCTTTAAAAAAAGTGAACAAAACATTAAAACTAATAAAGAAACATTAGTCATCTGCTAAAACCACTTGGCATCTAAACAGTCCAAGCACATTGTGCCCATAAAAAGGATAACAATTGTAAGGCCAAATCATAGCATCACCACATAATGTGATGCCCAAAATAACTGGTTAGATATGTACAGTTCATCAGCTTTTCTTATTAACACTTAAACCTACATAAACTATTTATATTTCCACTCCAAGCCTTGTTTCAAATTTTATTTTTTCTAATTTGACTCCTCATGTTAGGTTCATCCTCTAACACTTACTACTTCAAAATTCATTTTCACTCCCATACAGAATGAAGAAGAAAAGAGTCTTTTCAACAGATCCAGATCTATCATCACGGACCCTCAAATTTAGGAAGATATTTTTCTCTCTCCTTTTTCAACACCTAGTGCTGCCATTCCCATTTGTAATTCCTATCATCAACTATTGATAATTCTTACCTAGGGTTGTAAAATTTGTTAAAGTACTGGGCAAATGACACATAATGAACTTATCATTTATTTTCTCATAATCTTAAAACCCTAATATTTTGAAATTTTAACCTTTTCATTGATAGATCTAACTCATGACTTCATGGTTCTCAAAATCCTAAACTAGATCATAATATCCATTACTGGCAAATCCATTAAAGTCTAATGAAAACCCCCCGATGCATAGACCTTAATGTATCGTGATCCTAATCTTGTAGGATTGTAAGATCCCGATCCTTATGGTGATTCTATCAATCCAAGTTTGCTGGATTTGTTTCTTAGGCATCTTTAGTTATTGTGTTGTTCCAATCCCTATTTATTGTTGACCCTTTAAGAGTCAATCCAAATGTGATTATCTCGTATGCTTATTAGTTTATTGGGGAAATTCTAATGCATGAGAAAAGCTATAAATATTGGTTTCGTTACAGAAAGTTCTCTTCATTTGCTCATTTCTGATAGAGATCGAAAAGAGATTGGATAAACTAAAATTGAAGAATTTGAGTTTATTATTTATTTTAGCATTATTATGTTAATTAAGGAATATTTATTTAACTAGGATTGCTTTAGTAATTTTAGTAGAAAAAGTTTTACTAGAAAATTATTATAGAGCTCTAGCATGATAGTAATTTGAGAGTTTGATCATAAAACTCTTTTATAATTTTAGTAGGATGGTAGTTTTTAATTTGGTAGGAGACCTGGCTGATAAATATGGATTTAGTCCCTACTATTTCATTGTAGAGAGTGATATTAATAAAAGTGTTTATCTGCGGAGAGTTTGTGTGTTTCTTAACTAATTCCTTGCAAGAATGAGATAAATTTCCTCCATCCCTACTTCTTTCTTCTCCTCTTTTTATTCTATGGTTTCTTTTCCTTCCCCGTCCTACATCAATTTCTCTTTGAAAAGTTAAAAACAACAATCAGACTTATTTTCTTCTCTCTCGATGAGTGACCATAGCCAAATAAGTATCAACTTTCAATGTGCAAATTGTAGTTTCTCAAATTTTTATCATATCACTAAGTTCAACATGTTTGTCATAACATTTATATAGATTGCACATATATGCTAAGCTTGTTTACATATAAACTTGTTTTCAAGAACTTTGTATTGTTACAAATATTTTGAAGAACTCTGTATTATTTCATATATTTTGAAGAACTCTGTATTGTTACATATAAACTTTGTTTTCAAGAACTTTTTGATCCGATCCTTTGATCCCGATCCTTTCACCTCACTCATCGATCCAAGATAGGATTCCAATTTTGAAAACCTCATTGAACTTGCAAAAATGTTAATTAATAAAAATTGTAGTATCATAAAAAGATATAACTCATACAAATGATATTTTCGAATGATCTAAACTACAATGGAAAAACTTGTGCAAATAATATAAAAAAACTATACTCAACTTAACCAAGACAAAACAACACCATACAAATTGCTTTCTGATTTAAGAACATTAAATTCACAGAAGAACAATAATACCAGAATGCCTAAATATAAACAGGGGGGCCTAATTCAATGGTTACAATTCGACTCAATAACTTCAGAAGTTATGGATGAGAACCTAATGATAGCAGCTCTGTTCACGAATGTTCTGATCTACCCTAGTGAACCCATTATTGGAGGTTGAACCGTGTGTTATTTGCCAATATGTAAACATTTTAATTAAGGATAAGAATTTTATTTCGGTGAATAGTTTCGATCCGCTCAAACACGAAAATATTTCGAATATGTTTTCGAAATCTTTCGTAATCAAAACACCTCGAAACACATCCAGTAACACCTATTCAATCACTAATTCTTTTCAATTCCCTTGGAAACTGAAACTTTCCTGCCATTTTTGTGAAACAAAAATGACATTTTGATCCTTGATTGTCATAAGTAACATCAGAGTTTTGTTACTTTTGTATGTAACACCATGCAAAGACGAACAAGAAACTGAAATTTCATGCCCAAATGCTTCACCTAGCATCAATATTCGACTCAGATGAAGCAGAAGCAAAGGTTCTAAATTGTCCACCCTAGAATGATGGAACTCAAATAAGAGTACGAAAAATGACCCTTCAAATGTTTTTATTCAATCACTTTTCTGGACAATAACCAATGGCAGCAGAGAACAACTTCCTACAAAATTACAAATTTAACTGTTGTGCCAAATATTTGTTTTGGGTGTACTGTTACTTGATTCTGATATATGGCCACAATGGTTGAAGCACAGACTCCCAACCATTTTGTTTCACTGTTTCTTTTTTGGTGAATGTGGGTTGAATACCAATTCCAACACCCTGGGTTCCCAGGGCCAAAGCTAGGATTCAATTTTACGGGGGGGCCCAAAATGTGAAAAAAAAAAATAAAATTTCAACAACGATCACTTTTAAAAATCTGAGCATAGGAAATATACTAAGGTTTGAAGACTAAATTATTAAAGAAATCATAAAATCAATATTGTTCATCCTTAACAACCAATGTATAAAAAGGTACTAAATAATGTTTACTATGCACATTTCAACTCAGTCATATATTGTAGCAGAATGTTATGTGCTTTCAAATCCCAAAGAGTGTTTTTGATTAATTATTTTATCAAATTTCTCATCAACACTCTTTTGATGCACATAATCAAATAGTTCATGACAAAATCATTCTTTAGAAGCCTAGTTGAGATCATCTTTTATCATATTGATTAATTCATTATTTGGAAGTGCAAAAACTGCTTTTAGGTTAGGACACATAATCATTTGCTTTTGATCATGTTTGATCAGGTTATGGGCCACTAACATACCATAAAAGAGTCAAGATCAACATACAGACAATTAACTCAAAAAAAGTACTGGGAAATGTATTACATAAAATAGAAGTAGTGTTCTTTTCCCGTAGACAGATCGGGGCATTTCATGTCTGTTGTCCTCAGGTCCTAAAATAAAGGGTTAGGGGGGCAATGGATCACTAATTACCAAGTAAAAAAAATTGGCTACACTTGTTTTCAATAAACTAAGTGGGCAGAGTATTAAAGTTAACAAAATTTTGTTCTAGTTAACACTATATATCTGCAGATTTATTCAAAGACAGTGGGGGCAAGTGCCCCCACAGCATTCAATGTAGCTCTGCCCCTGGGGGTGGCAAAATGTTACATGGTACAAATCCTAAGTAAACTGAACAATGATCATATGCCAATTCTACACAAAACCATCCTAGGATGATATCGATTCCAAATATGATAATTAAACAATTACTAGACTTTTCAGGTTAAGGAATAAATTTCAACCTCAACCATCTGTTCGCAGAAAATGAAATACCAAACGTGTTATGTGTAGAGTGAAAACTGTTGCATGTGTTCATGAGGAGATCATACAGCTGAGTCCAACTGCTAAGAAGATCGAAAGCACACAAGAATGTCTAATAAAAAAACCTGGTAAACAAATGAGAGGCCCTCGTTGAAACCCCATTCCTAAATAAATTAAATAAATACAGGATCCAAAAATAAAAAAGCTATAAGCCATTTTGCAACTTGGCTCGGATACCTTCTGAAGAACATAGCCATCATGAACCGGAGCAACTGTAGTAGACCCTCCACCACTGAATCAGTTAGAAGTCAGTGACAATTAAGATAATGAGTGCCAATTGTAACAATCGAGGAATTGTTAAGCACAAGGCACTCAAGAAATCTCGGAAGCTAGAAACAAAAACATGAAATTTCATACAAGAACTAGGAAAATAGATAAAAAGATAAAAACTTAAATATGTCAGGGCAGTCAGTTAAAATAAACAGTTTAACAGCCAAGAAGTACAAACACGGACACATGCCACGAATATGATAGGACAAGGAGACACGACATTTCTAAAAAAAATAGGGGGTGAACACGTTGGGGACATGCTATAAATAATTGTGTTCTATATGAAAAATTAAACAATTTATCACAAATATAGTGATAATGATACATTATTCATAAAAAATTCAGTACCTATGATAAGTAAATGCTATATCTAGTCATCCAATTTGAATTTTTAGATTACCATCATAATATTCAATAATCAACATTTTTTTCATAGACATGTACCAAACATATATAATAAGTAATAACAAAAACAAAAGATACATAAAAGATTTAGAAAAGAGCAATTGAGAAAATTAGGGCAATCATATCTAATTTTGGTAATTATATGTTCTCTCATAGTATGAGGCACTTATTGGTCAAATTTATAAGCTTTGTTAATCACATGTCAACACATGTTTATTGATTACTAGTAGACACGGTCTAAAAAAGTGTCGGATATGTCACTAAAGAAGTGTTGGACACGTCACTAAAATTAAAATTTTATCATTTCATTATGGACGTGAATAAAAGAATATCGAACACGTGTTCGGAGAGTGTCGATGTCTAACACGTGTTAGACAAGGATATGTTACCTTCTTGAGAATGTTTGTGCTTTATAGCTCAAGATATACAATAAAAATGGTGTATGAGCTTGAATAATAATAACAAGAAACTGCTGCCCAAAGATGTCACTAAAATTATCATCTTATGTTGGAGCTTTAATTATGTTATGCCTTATTTTTAGTTTGATGGTATTTTTGTACTTTGTGCTTATATATACACAGAGATGTAATAATGTGACTAATACATTACCCTTCACAAATGAGTTTTCTCTTCTCTCTCCGTACGTCTCACTCAAACATCTTGTACTCTTTCAAACTCTAAATCTTTACAATCTATCTAGGTATCAGAGCATCAATCCCAACCTAATACATTAAAAAATTGTCGGAACCAGTGGGAGAATTCAAGGTTTGTCGTCACCAAAATCTGACATTCTAACTTCAGACATCAACATTAACTTAGTCAATTAGATCGGAAGAAATATGGTTTGATTTGCCGTGATTTTCTAAATATCATGGTTATGTTTCCATAATTTTTCGAAGCCATTTGCATTCACTTTCTTATTTTTGCATGATTTTCATTATTTGGCCAACGGTTCTAAGATTTGATTGTTTGAGATTGTAGCTTTTCGTTTTGATTTGAATATATGGTGGTATGCATCTAGGGTAAGAAGTGTTCAATAGTTAGTTTTCTAGCTCAGTAGTGAATATTAAATCGGGCTCAGCCCAAATATTATGGTTAAACAATGAGTCCAATATGCTTTTTTATATTAATTTGACTATTATGTCTTTATGTTAAGAAAAGTGTATTTTGGTTTTTATTCAGTATGCTTTTTTATGCTTTAAATACTATGCTCTTTATGTTAAACATTAGATTTAAGTTGCTAGTTGTTACTTTAGGTTAATACTATGTAATATGTACAAGATTTAAAACAACTAGCTAATTTCGGGCTTGAACAAAACTAACCCGAATTCAAATCTGAAATAAGCCCAAATTGGGTAACCCGAATTCAACCTCAATCTGTCTAAATTCAACTTGAGCAATACTTAGGTTGAGTACCTTAGATTGAGGTCAGATTAGGGTTAAGATTAGTGTTAAAGATTTTATGCATAGTGCTGGGTTAGGGTTGATCTGTCAACTCGTCCAAGTTGCACCCCTAACTCTTAAGCAATGGATATCGGAAAAAGCTGTCATTGTTTTGGCTATTGAATTCAATGCAACATACTACCTGTTGTGGTTTTCTATTGCGTGATACACCTAATAAAATTTGGATTGTTGTAGCTCAAACACACTCAAAAGGGCAATGATGCCAAGCCCTTTTGTTTTTTATAGGAGATAAAGACTATGCTAATAGTAAAAATAAATGTAATATAATATGAGAGCAAAGATGGACAAGATATACCCCTGTACTGCAATACAAAAAAAAGCACATCATCAAAAATAGGGGGAAAAAATAGTACAATTTAGTTATTCGATATCAAGACAACATACATCCATTCAACTCACCACAATACCAAAAAGGAGCATATTAGCAAATTCCTTTGCTACCAATACCCAAAAAGAAGCTTACATACATGACCTCATAATCCTTCGAGGCCTCACACTTATCCTCAAAAATTCTTGCATTTCTTTCCAATTAAATCACCCAAATGATGACAATAGTAAAAAGGTAAAGTTAATACTAGGGTTTATGAGAGAAAGAAAAAGGGAGGAAGGGAGAGAAAAAGAGGAGAAAGAGATTGAGAGGAAAAATCAGTTGTGTATGCTAGGTTGCCCTATACTCTCTTATTTATAAATGAGTAATATGAGGTAATCCCAATATTATCCTATACTAATTAACTAATGTCTAATATGGAAAATAAGAACTCTAAGACAAACATTGCATAACCCCAAATGATGATTCCACTACTCTTCCTTCCAAAGCCATTATAATTCATACAAAACAAAGTTGATATAGATCTTGGAGCCACCCAAGAATACCTTACCATCTTAAACAATTTATTCAATAAATACCAAACAATTGGGCGCCACGGCTTATACCCTTTCAGAAAAAATTTGTAAGAGTAACCAGATGAATAAATCTCTTGCTGCCTATTTCAAGCATATTGTGCTAGCAATGCAACTAAGTTTCAGCATACGGTAGAAAAAGAGCGTGTTTGTATGACCGCTAGACTAGATTTAACATTGATTATGATTAGATTCGTATTCAGATTTTTTATTGTAGTCCATTTCACACCTTACGAAAGGCCTATGTCTATATTTAGCAAGAGGATTGATATGGTTTATGCTCCCATTCTTGAACAATATGGTTTAATTGTTGTTCCTCAATTTGCCCTCAAATTAGCCTAATCTAAATCTACTAACAAGAGTGGCATTGTTGACAAGAATCTATACTACTAATAAAAATACCTTAACATAAAAAAATTTTGATTCTCTAGTTTATCCTTATGAAGAATTGCAAAGACTACTCTATCACTTCAAAATTAAATATCTAAATTATCATCATATCCTTATGTATTTAAATCCTCAAATTACCTTTAACATCTCTTTTAATTATCTATTTTCTATGCATAAATATCAGTTTCTATAAGACTTTTTGATTGACTATATTATCCTTAAAAAAAAGTCGATAGCTATAAAACTAGACTTGTTGCAAATAGGGATCACTCAAACATATAGCATTAATTATCCAAAAACCTTTACCATTCTGACAAAGATAAACGTCATATGGGCTCTCCTTTCATGTGCACCTAATCTAGGTTGGAGTCTACAGCAATTAAACGTGAAAATTGCCCTTCTTCAAGGAGAATTGGAGGAGTATATGAAGATCCCACTGGGTTTTTCATCCGAGTTAACTAAAGGAAAGGTGTATAACTTGAAGAAGTCTCTCGGAGCTTAGTTTGACAAGTTTCTCAAAGCTATGCTGAAATTTTGATACAAACAGAGAGATGCCGATCACATAATGTTCATCAAATATGCTGAAAAGTTTATTGTTCATATTGTATATGTGAATGGCATAGTGATAACAAGTCAACAAATTGTTCATATTGTAAATGTGAATGGCATAGTGATAACAAGTAAGTCAACAAACTAAAAGATTAGTTGGCTAAGGAATTTGAAATCAACAACTTGAGTTCGTTAAGATACTGCTTAGTGATAGAGGTTGCCACATCAGATAAAACATTTTTATCTCCCAAAGAAAGTATGTTCTTCATCTTCTTAAAAAAACAGACTTGTTGGGGAGTAGACCTACAGATTCTCCTATTGAAACGAATCATCAATTGAGTGTTTGTGATGTAGTAGATAAGAAGACGTACCAAAAATTAGTGAAAAGACATATATATCACTCTTATAGTCAATCAAATATTACTTATGCACTGGGGATTGTCATGATCCTAGAACTGCTCATCTTGAAGCTGTACTTTATTTCTTAGTATCTCAAGTCAACTCCAAAAAAGCGAGATTTTAACCTACAATCGTGGACAACACCGTGGTCACTTCAGGCTAAAACCATTTACTACTGCAGATTAGATAGATCTAGTGGATAATAGACAAACTGCTTCGGGCCACTACACCCTGATAGATGGGAACCTTGACAGATGACAAAGCAAGAAGCAAGGAAAGGCTGAATACAAAGTAATGACTCAGAACTTGTGAACTTATGCCTCCAAATCTTACTAGAAGAGCTAGGAATTCATAATGATGGACCTATGAGACTATATGGTGATAATAAGGTTGCTATCGACATTTCCCATAATCCAATTCAATATAATAGAACCAAACATGTCGAGATTGACTCGCACCTCATCAAAGAAAAATTGAACAAACGTTTGATTTGCATGGTCTTTGTAAAATCATAAAACCAGTTGGCTGATATTTTCATTGAGATTAGTGGCAAAATTTTTCACCCCATATTTGTAAGTTGGACATTATGGATTATTCATATACCAACTTGAGGGAGACCGTTATGTCATGTCTTGTTTTTACTTCAAGGGTAGTTCTGTCTTTGTGCTCATATATAGGCTGAGCTGTAATTGTGCGACACAATGGATTACCCTGCACATAATAGTTTTATGTTCTCTATGCTTTCCTCTCATTCAAACATCTTTTACACTTTGAAACCATAAATCTTTACAATCTAACTAATATTTTTGTCTTTAGATATTTTGTGTGTGACTATTAACAGTGAATAGTATTAATAACAAGTTTTTGTGCTGCCTACTAAACACCTTCATTGGAGTGAGGTGCTCTGCTCTGATGTGCTCCTTTCTCATGATCTCCAAGTATGAGTCTGACCCAATGATTTGTTGTTGAACAACAATCCCCCCCCCCCCCCCCCCC